GATTGTCAAAAAGTTTATATTGGGCAAACTGGTAGGAGGCTTAAAGATAGGATTGTTTCTCATAAAAGTGACATTAGACTTAATAAGAATTCTTGTATGTTGTCGAACCATACAAATAGTTGTAAACATGATATTGATTTTAACGAAGTAAGTATAAAATTTACAGAAAATAATGTTTTTAAAAGAAATTTCCTTGAGATGTGCAGCATCTTTCAATGTGAGAACACTATGAATAGACGTTCTGACATTGATAACTTAAGTATCATGTTCACATATTTGTTAAGTATTAATAATAATTCATCTATTAATGACGTTGGTGAATCCAGCTTATAGAAATTATTATTCAAAATTTAGCGCTCAATTTCACTGTTTCCTTTTTCTAAATTCCATAATTTACTTAGTCCATGGTTGTCTCAATTATTTTGTTCGATGTACCTTTTGGTTCTGCAAAGTTTGGTTATGATTCTTTGGTTCAATTATAATTCCATGCTGCCACATGGCTGAGCAAAGCCCGAAAAATTTATATGAAGAACTAATATTTTGTTATTTTGACCTCAACTATTTGTACTCAACTATTTTGTATCAAGTAGCGGGACACCCTGTATATATACAGGGTGTCCGAATTTTATGTAGGAAACTTCAAGGGCAGATTTCTTTAAAATAATGGGTGTTTGCCTTATAAACATAGGTCTGGAACGGCCCCGTTTTAGAGATACAGGGTGTTGAAGTTGTTTAAAAAAAATGATTTTTTGTTTATATCCCAGGAATAGATTCCAATCTCAATAAAATTTGGTAGAGATAATGTATGATAGTAGGCCTTGCATTTCCTAAAATACGAGCTCTAAAGGTTCAACCAGTGGTGTACAACAGGTCAGGGGTCACTCCTTTTTTATAAAAAAACCTAGGCCACTGCATTTTTACAAGTTATTGTAACGGAAAATACATAAAAAGGTATCTTGAATTTTTTTCCCTTGTTTATGCTTAAAAGTAAGTGCAATTTGTAAGCACATCAACAAAATTATTTACACTCATTTCCACACCACCTGTGAGGTAGAGTTCCTGACTCGTTTTAGTTTCCCCTGGAAGCCTAATACACTATCTTTACAAATAAGAACAATTTAAATCAAAATAATAATAAATGTGGCGAGGGGTAGTAAATTTTCACAATCTGCATATTTGGTCACAAGAAAATCCTCATGGAATTCGGACGATTTCGATTTCAACACGAATTTTCTGTAAACGAGTGGCTCGGAATAATTCGCAATAAAGGTTGTGGACTTTTCTTCTTGCCACTCCGTGTAAATTCCCAGTCATTTCTAAACTTTCTAGAAAACCATATGTTCGAGTTATGAGAGGATGTTCCATTAAATATACGACAAAATAGCTGGATACAATAGATGGTGCTCCTGCGCATTCTGGGAGAATAATATATGAATGGTTTAATGAAAATTATATGGGGTGATAGACAGGTAGAAGACCAAATGCCAATGTCTACCATAACAGTGCAGAAGGTCCAGTCTCTTGGCCAGACAGATTGCCATATCTTAACCCCCTGGGACGTCTACGTTTTGGGTTATCTGAAAACTAAAGTTTACTCTACTCCGACAGATACAAGATTACAACTAGTACAGCAAATAGAAGACGGGTGTAATGAATTAAAAGAAAACCATTATATGATAAGTGGCTTCAATTAGTTCCATTAGTAGAAGATATCAGAGATATGTATCGATGTGCATTTTGAACAATTGTTGTAAATATGTAACGTTAATTTTGTTTCTTCTTTAGTTGCTGTTGCTTGGTAAATATGTTTTTATTATTATTTTGCTTTAAATAGTTCTTTTTTGTAAAGACAGTAGATTATGCCTTCATTATGGTTAGAAGCGTCTGCTACAAGGGGATTGTATTGCGGTAGGAATAACTTGAGAACGGCGAATCTTGGGGAAAAAATTCAAGTAACCTTTTTACGTATTTCGTGCATTAGAATATAAATCCGTTACAATAACTTGTAAAAATGCAGTGGCGTAGTTTTTTTTTATAAAAAAGGAAGGGACCCCTGTCCAGTTGTACACCAATGGTTGAACCTTTAGAGCTCATATTTTAGGGAATGCAGATCGTACTATCATACATTATCTGTACCAAATTTTATTGAGATGTTAATAAACAAACAATAATTTTTTTTAACAATTTCAACACCCTTTATCTCTAAAACGGGGCTGTTCCAGACCAATGTTTATGAGGCAAACATATATTATTTTAAAGAGATCTATTTGCCCTTGAAGTTTCCTGCATAAATTCGGACCACCCTGTATATAGACAAGGTGTAAAACGTGAATCATATTCTAATTTAGACCTGGTTTTAAAAGTGAAGATACCACAACTGGTTTTATATTATCACCCTGAGGCTATATCTGTGTATACACATGTTCCCCTTTTTTGACAATCAGGAAGTCTACTGCTACTTAAATTTCCATACAGGGTTAGCAAAAAAATCCGCCTGGTAAGATTTTAAGATACGAGATTTTCGTTGCAATTTATTTCTGCAATGTTATTGACATTGACATTAAAAAGGAGAGGAACTGTTTTACTCAAGTTGTATTTGTATGATTTTTTTTTTAAAACAGCACGCTTTTAAGTCATAAAATCATACTGTTATTTAAATTTAACAGATGGTACATGTCAATTTTTTTTTTAAATATGTTAATTAATGAAAATTTTATGTAGTTCCCTGTACGGGGTGCAACAAAAATATAAACTAACATACTTCGAGGGTGTAAAACAGTAATGGGAATAAACCATATTATACATTTTTTGAGTATTGGTGAGATATAACCTGCAAAGCATGTCATACACCATTTATTCTATGTCTTATATGTCGGTTATATCCCACCAATACTCAAAACATGTAGGTATGTAGATAGACATCCAAATTAAATCATCCGTCAGTCATCTCACCTATGGCATATTGAGGAGAATTAATATTTACTATTTGGGGATGTATTCAATGCCAACCGGGGTACATAGCTATTTAGCTATTTCTCACAACATTAATCGTTAAAAAGTAAATGTTTTTTCTTAAAGTGCCGCAGTGCATTGCAGGAGCAAATTTAATATCTACGCCTTTCACCTTTAAAAAGGATCTGATATGTTTTGTTTGATTATTTATTCCTCGATTTATTCTATTTTAGAATAATCAAACATTATTCAGGCTTTTTTTCAGTCAGGAGCGTAGAAATTCTACTGAAAAAAAGCCAGTTCTCTGCCATTGGCCCACATAATTTCTAAGTTAGTACATACCACAAATTATGAATCATACCTGGTATAACAAATTTCAAGGTTTTCGAAATAGCGCTTCAGAAAAAAATATGTTTTTGGGGAGTTCTATATGCAATCAAAGTTTGTTGGTTCATTTTGTTACACCATCTATAATAGTACCAGTAAATAAATAATTACATGAATAAATATAAAAAAAAATCGTTCGATAAGGAATTTTTTTTTTTGACGGCAGGGTCATTATCACAGACAACATACCTATGCAAAAGGTATTTTGTCTGTGATTTAATATGAATTTTGTTTATTGTAGGTACAACTGGTGCCATACTGTTGTGCGCATTTTTCGTAGACGTAATTGTATGGTATAAAGCAGGCAGTATAAATTTTGTCGACGAACAGGTTCCATTTGAAGAAGAATTACACACGATTACAGGAAAAATAAAAAATGAACCTGAATAACAAATGCAGAAGGTGGAGACCCCACCAAAATTTTAATTGTAGTTTTTGTTTTTACATATTTAGAATTTTCCGATTATATTGTATATTCAACCATAGAGACACAATATAGGTACATATAAATGTGCAGATCCACTGGAGGAGGATGAATGAGTGTACAGGATTATTACTATTTATAATAACCAAATAATTTCGCGCATTAAGAATAAAAATATAACGTATTAAACGTTACTAAAATTATTGAAAGTTGAAAATTCCCATAACTTGATTTACGTATCTAATTTAAGCACATAATTTTGGTTTAATACGTTAAATCATATTTTATAGGTATTTCATAATTTACAATTTCATTAGAAGTTATTTGGTTACTTCTACAGCCAGCAACTGTCACTGAATTCATAACACCTCTCCATCCCGAGTTAAAAGGTGCCGCAAAATTATTTTTTTGTGGGGGGGGGTTCTCTTTAATTTGTAGAGGCACACCGTTTTTTTATGTATGTAGGTATGTACATATTTAATTTACTTTATAAATAGGTTCCTTACGTGGAAAGAAAAATAACCTAGTCTTAAAATTCTCACTGATTTGTTTTAATTGAACAAAACTAGCCTTTTTATTACTTGAGCGGAAAAGTAGTTCGATCAGGACACTTGTAAAATAATAAATTAACCCTATTTCCGGTCAAAGTGAAAGTGTAAAATAATCCGTACTATAAAGCTAGACAGTATTGTCACATATTGTGCTCGAAATATCAAAGTATAATGCTTTATATGCTGTTTCGTATTTGAAAATGTGCAGTTCCGTAAAATCCGTACATTTAATTTTTAATATATCGTTATAAGCCTAATGGATAAGTGATAAATAACTAGATGTCATTCAGGGAAAAATAGCAAGTTTTCGATCCTTTTCTTTGCCAAGAGTTACAGACTGCAAAACGAATTGAGACTATATTATTTAAATTGTTTCTAAATGTTTCCAAATAAAAACGTATACTGATTTCATTGTTTACTCTCCAGAGAAATGTCGAAAACGGTACAAAAAAAAACAAAATCACATATATTGTTAAGGCTCCCTGAATTATATATATACACATAGTTATTATTTTTTCTAATTTGAAATGTATATACCACTATCAAAGTGAATGCATGATAATTTGCACATATTTATTGAATATTTAAAATTTCTATGCCTTCTATAGGTAATCTATATTACCTATGTTTGGTCTGAAAATCCAGTAAGTAGGTATAACTTTTATTTTCTACTTTAGAATTATTTACTCGATATAATTAAAATGAGTATAAAATTTCCAGTGAGTTACACATTAGCTGGGTATATAATACGCTGCTTGAAACTTATTTTTCATTACAAATCTCTGTTTGTTTGTATAACTGCATGCTTTATATTTATACGGTTGATGTTGTTAAGAGTATGATATCTACCGTTCAAAATAAACAATTCTCGATATATTGTTCATTGTGTTTATTTAAATTTATAATCAAACTTATGTTTGATGAAAGTAATAATAATATTACCTACATATACCGTATTATCGAAATTTATAAATGCCTCCTTACTACAAACCGAGATGCTGTTTTATCTGCGACTATTTTCATATGAAATAATTTCTGAAGGTTTTTTTATTAAATTTATATACCTATTTAAATTGAATTTGTTTGCATTTTGTAGGAATATATTTGTTAACATTATATCACGAACAATATACTAAATGTATGCCAATATTCAATTTAAAGTTGTTTTTTTTTTAAATTAAATATGATGAACAAAACATATTTTATTGTTTGTTTGATGTATTTATTTAAACGCAGTGACACAGCTGTTATAATCTCTACCGTATTGTATAACGTATGTATTTTACATTTTCTGAAAAATTATATGTACATACATATTTATTTTTATTTTCACTTCACTGAATAATTGGTGTATCGCACCTGTCATCATGAAATTATAAACTTTATATTACATATTATAATTAATTGCACACTAACCTTACATTTCAATAAGTTTGTTTTATTTCTAGCAGGTAAATCAAGTCAAGATTTTTATCTAATTGTAGAACCGGTGTCTTGATATTTTTAACCATGGATTAGTTCACACCACAGATTTCATAAAATTGCACATATGCACACTGACGCCGCTTGTCAAAATAAAAACGCCCTATTGCTATCAATAGGGCATTTTTATTTTGTATTACCATTTACCTTTGTACACGGTAATATCCCTACGGTTTTACCTATAGCCAAATCAGTTTCAAATATTTTTTTGTAACAAAATATATATTTTCTATTTGTCTAGGTCTATATTAAGGCTACATAAAGAAAAACCAAATAGAACCGAATTAATAATACTTAGAAAAATGTAGTAAATAGTAATATTTTTGTATTTCAGTTACCTCCATATTTACATATTTAACATGTTTAGACTAGACGATCTTATCTTTTTGTGGTAAAGACTAACAAACTTTATATACCACAAAGTATGTATTGGGCAAACGAAAAGTACAATCCAGAGCCGTACTCAGATTCTCCAATTTTCATGACTAATTTGAACCGATCAGAATATAGTCACTTTCATCAAATATCACACTTCATTTAGTTTATTTCAGTAATTACGTATATAATTCGATCCTGGCTCCTGGTTATCTAGCCATCTGGTTATGCATAGTGTGTCACAACAATGTATAAAGTAATAATAAATAGTTCTACAACTCCTCTAATCATTGGCGTTGGAATTTCTAAATTTCTTTTCTTCTGAGGATGCTCAGTGAAAATAAAGTATGAGCAAAAATAATGATGATGATAATATATTGATATAACTATCATATAAGTAGGTATCTATTGACTATTTTCGGAATCTCAATAATACCGGAGAAAGTAAGTTACTTTTTTAAATATTTTATTCAATTAAACGATTTTTTTTTTCAAATTTCGTAGACGTACGTAATGCCTAATGCTAATGAATTTTTCAGGAACGCATCAATATCTCTTATTCGAGTATCTTCACCGTTTAAAATTTCCTCCACCTTTTATTTAGACAGATTGACTATTGCTCATTTGTACTCGAGCTGTGAATTAAATTTTGTATAGGCAGACCGAATTGAACACGGTTTGTCAGATTTTCAAATAGTAGTTTTAATCATGTTTCGGAACTCAAAATTTAAATCTAATATTATTGCAGTAAATATTTTAATAGTCGTTTAATGTAAAAAAAAAATCTTAACTGACCTTGTGTCACTATAAACTTTGTAATCAGACCTGGATTTACAGACCGAACAATGTAGAGCTGTATCAAAATAAATTTCATGGGGGGCCTATACCTATTTGTCTATTCATAACTTGGCATATACAAAAAACTGAATCATTTTACTGCTATTTTTAAGGTACGGCCACAATGAAAAGTCGAGGCTTTAGATTCAAATTACATTATGGCAAATACCTTTAATTAAGTTTGTTTACTCACGTTACAGCCTTATATGATTTGACAAATAGACAATGAATGCAATATATTACTTTTTTAGTTTTACTGAATAGCCCGCGGTACTATTCAATAACTGTGATATTTAAATATATTTACTACAGCTTTTCAAAAAAAAAAATATAAGAATATTAATATAATTTATGANTAGATAGTTGAAATTTTTGTAGTTTACGAAAAACCTTATTTTTGATTTGTTTGTGCCAAAAGAGCTAAACCAATATATTTTTATTTATATTGGTATACAAGGTGTTTGGTAAGTGGATGCATTCCTTGGAGGAGGTTATAGTACAAGTGATTTGTGATATATTTCCTTAATATAACATATTCCGAAAACGCTTAGTTTCCGATCTACAGGGTGTTAAAAGTTTTAATAAAAAAATGCAAATTCAAAAATATCGCGGAAACCGCTCAGAAAAATTTAAAGAAATTTTACAGACTTTGACAGTTAACAACAATACATATTTTATGATAAAAATTTTGTTTTCAGGTTCACCAGTGGCGTGCGCACCCGCACGTCTGGATATTTTTAAAGAAAAAAATGCTACGTCACTGATTTTTCTTAAAATAAAAATTATTTTTGAATTCCTTATTCAATTTGGAAGAGAAAAGGTATCTCGACTGTTTTTCTTGTGACGCACCGTTTTCGAGTAAATAAATTAAAATCGATTTATTGCATGGCGTAATCCGGTTTCAATAATTTGAAAAATAGCAGAAATTATGCACTGTTTTTTTTGGTACCAATTTTATTACAAAAAATTATTACTCCTCACAGTTAACATCAGTCTAAAAAAATGTATCAGTTTTTACTATTTTATCACTATCTTAAACAGAAACTAGCAAGTTAGCTGTGCACTCGTTTTTGTTATTGTTTGACAAAATTAATAATAGCTGCCACTTTAGTAATAACGTGTTGTAATAAAATTGGTAGGTACAAAAAAACTAAAGGGCATAATTTTTTATTAAAACTTTAACACCCTGTAGATCGGAAACTAAGCGTTTTCGGAATATGTTATGTTAAGGAAATATATCACAAATCACTTGTACTATAACCTCCTGCAACTCCTGCAAGGAATGCATCGACTTACCAAACACCCTGTATATATATATATATAATATGGAAAAATGGAAGAAAAATAATTCCCAATTATATATATATTGGCATGTGAATAAGCGGCTGATTAGTAAAAGAAAACGCCTAGTTTTCGTATCTAGAACATATGAAAAGGTAATTTATTATTTTATTAAGAATGAATTTATCTCCAAAATAAAATTACATACATATTATACCTTCTGTTACTAATAATACTTTCCTGTTTCAAAAAGACACCTGAGGGCTTGGAATTACCAGTGATTTATGTGTAAACTAGGTAGGTCACAGCCACATATTCACATTTCTTCGAATAAATATTATTAATAATTTAGTTTAGCACATCTAGTTACCATTTTGTTATATTTTTATAATGTACGCATTTATTGTTTAACTACGTATTACATGTGCCATGTACTATATTCAGTATAGGTAACACATAAATATCTGAAATACCTCAATTTTTATATTATGCTCAAAGATTGTTACTTTTCTACAACCACTGACTTTATATTAATCATTTAAGTTTAAATTTCTGTATTTTTTAAATTATTAAAATAAAATCTTTTGTAGATTAAGTATTTTTCTAATATGATTGAATTACCACTACCCAAGTGTAAACGTAATGCAGTTATATATTAATCAATTATTGTATTAAATGTGTTTTATTTCTACTAACCAAGCAAATCGTACTATAATAGAGATGGGTACCTAATTAATTACTAACGGAATTATTTATATTACAAGAATTCATTTAAATCTTTTAACACTACTATATCACTTGATAAAAAGTTATATTTTTTAATCTAAATGTAGGTAGACTAAAAAAGTACCAACTACAAACAAAAACGTAAATTCACACTTCACTTCTAGCAAAAAAAAAGAACTTCTTTTGCATATTTTAGTGTGTAGTAGGATTACATTCGAATGACTCCAGTAAGGGAAGGGATCGACTAAGTACTGCGACAATTTTCGAAACGTATTTAAATCCTAGCCAATGAACCAAATGTGAAAGCCGTAAACGTAAAGAAGAAGAAGTAGATGGGTTGCTCTCGCTCTTTCATTTATAGCCCAAGGTCAGAAATCACGTGCTAAATGTCAATCAGCAGAATAACCAACAATGAGGCAGTGGACAATTTGTGTTATTATCAGAGAGCGGACAATTTGTGTCTTTAACCTTGAACATAGATATGTCATTCATAAACCTAGATACATTATCCATGACGCAGTGGCGTGTCGGATATGCATCGGAAATTTACGTGATAATTCACGAAAATTCCACGGTACATACATTTTTAGGCGTTATAAAATATTTAGAAAATCAGAAATTGTATACTACATATTTATTAAATAAAGTTCGGTTAAAAATAGTGTCGTTCTTTTAATTGGAAATTAGGAGTCAATGTAACGAATATCCTCAGGCGACGCACATGATAGAATAGTCCAACTCACGCTCCATTCATAACAGGGCTGCAGTTTGAATTCTGACCAATAGGAATTCGATAAACGCAACCGATGTCGACGGATGGACTAGAGATGGGCGCGAGTGTCATTTCATTTCTTTAGAACTAAATTAACTTAATTATTTTCTCGTTATTTAACCTGTTCACATGATTTATGGATTTTAAATAAAGGGTACAAATCTTCGCGAGGATAATACGATATATTTGCTATACATAATAATTATATTTTGCATAGTTTATACACAATACATTTTTGAACGCGTACACATCTCTACCAAAATTTGACCTATTCTTCGGGTTAAAG